GCCACTGTCCTGCTGTGCATTTACAATGAGCCTCTGCTCCTGACCACCAGAAGTGGCTTAACTTCATAAAAGGAGAATGTCCTAATGAGGGAGGGAAAATAAATGAAAATGAAAGCCCTTGGTTCTTTTTATATCCTTTCCACCTTTTAACTGTTTTAGGAAAACATAGTTTTGCATATGTTCTGATCTGTGAGTCTGCTGCACATCTTGCATGCCTATATTTTTACCTGATCATGTGAAACCAATCTTTACAAAGCTCAATGTGAAGAAATAACCTCAGCTTCATAAATCATTGTTAGCATCCCACAGGAGGAGGTAATGCTGTGGTTTTTCTCTTCTAAAACATTTCAAGCCTTCACTTTCATATGTTTTTTCCTAAAATTAGTTTCATTCTGCCCCTATGCATTCTCTCTCTCTCTCTCTCTCTCACACACACACACACACACACACTCACACACATACAATGACCCATTCTTTACAAATCAGGCTGGATATATAAACCAATTTACTTGTTAGCTGGGTATTTATAACAGTCTCATGTTTTAGAGAAGACCTGTTTCCTATTCTTATGGACCATCATTTATCATAATTTTGAACATATTATCCCGTACTAAGAATGTGCTGATCTTTATGTTTTTTCTCTAATTCTTGCTAGAAGATTTTATATGTGAAATCTGCCTGCAGAATAGATTAGTTTAAATTTACTGAGTTTAAAAGGGATTAAAACTAATTTTCAAGTTTCTTAAACTGTTTGGGTATGCTTAGCAATCTCAGAAGTATGAATCAATGACATTCTGTTTGTAATACTAGCATACATTTCTGTTATGTTTAATAAGAACGTGTTTTAAAAGTTATTATCTGTAATCCCAGCTGGAAAAGGAATGATAGATTAACGTCATTTTAACCTAATTGCATGGGAATATTTTTGCAAAATTAGATTTTTGCAGTTTCCAGTTAGAAAAACATTACTTTCAGCATAATCTAAATTTAGAGGCGTGTTAGCACCAGTATATTTTAGTGAAGTGTTGCTAAAGAATATATTAATTGAAAACAAAATTTAAAATATCATCTTTCATCTTCTAAGCAGAAGTTTTCTTTAAGTAAAACAATCTGTCTTTCAAAAGCAAATTTCTAGGGGGAGAAGATTGTCGTTTATATTGAAAGATACGAAAGAAAAATGAATATATAATATCTGGCTTAGCTGGCCTCAGTGCCATAATACCTAGTAAACTAAACTTCAACATTATTTTGACAAATATATAGGCAACATTATCCTATTTTAAACAGAGCATATTTTCTTAGTTTCCTTGTGTTACTTCTGATAATAAACAGTTGAATTTGTTCTGTGGGCTGAATGCATAAATATAATCAGTGTTTTTGCATGTGAATACTCGAGATTTCATGTACCGTGGACTTGAAAAATGTTAAGACTTCCAAAATCCCTCCAGTTTAGGGATGAGTAGTATCTCACCCTTTGCACACCCACATGCACAAATATGTATACACTATACTTACATATGTACACTTCTTAAACATCAAAGCAACACTGGTTTGAAAACAGGTTAGGTTACAGTATTGCGCATATAAAACCTGGCATTTTTAAGATTTGTTAAACACTGCCCCTTAAAAATGTTGTTGTTGTTAATTAATTAATTAAATTTGTATACAGTGGTACCTCGGGTTGAGTACTTAATTTGTTCTGGAGGTCCGTTCTTAACCTGAAACTGTTCTCAATCTGAGGTACCACTTTAACTAATGGGGCCTCCTCCTGCTGCTGCTGCTGCTGCACGATTTCTGTTTTCATTCTGAAGCAAAGTTCTTAACCCGAGGTACTATTTCTGAGTTAGCGGAGTCTGTAACCTGAAGCGTATGTAACCTGAAGCGTATGTAACCCGAGGTACCACTGTACTGCCCTATACCCGCAGGTCTCTTGTACATCTTAAGGGAGCAATCCAAACCCAAGATGAGCAAGGATGAGCAAGTTAGGATTGAGCAGTTCTCTGATTTAGCCAGCCAATTCCTGGTACAGCTGGGCCACACCAGTGTAATTCCCCCATGCTGGGGGGAACGGGACTTGGGAACAAAAACAGACATTTCATTAATTGATCATAAGCAATTAACACAGAGAGTTTTAAAATAATCAAATAACCAGGAAGGATCAGGACCATGATTCGGGGGGGGGGGGGTAATATTAATTATGCTACATATCGGGCGAGTACATGTCAAGGACTTGGTCATCCCGAATTTGGCCTTGTATACATGAGCTGACCTGGCATATATTGGAGATCTGGCTGGATGGGACAGGAATTGTAAATTGGTCCACATTTTGTGCACTTGGTTTCCTGATGCAGCAGCTGGCAAATCTAAGTGATTCTGGAGGGCAGGGAGGTAAAGTTGCAGTAGTTTATGTGATTTTTATTTTCCGGTCTAGTTTAGCAATTACTTAATTTTGAGTGTTGTCTAATCCACTGAGCCTAGGGCTTGCCGATCGGAAGGTGGGCGGTTCAAATCCCCGCGACGGGGTGAGCTCCCGTTGCTTGGTCCCAGCTCCTGCCAACCTAGCAGTTCGAAAGCATGTCAAAGTTCAAGTATATAAATAGGTACCTCTCTGGCATAAAGGTAAACAGTGTTTCCGTGCGCTGCTCTGGTTTTGCCAGAAGCGGCTTAGTCATGCTGGCCACATGAACCAGAAAAACTCTCTGCGGACAAACATCGGCTCCCTCGGCCAGTAAAGTGAGATGAGCACTGCAACCCCAGAGTAATTTGCGACTGGACTTAACTGTCAGGGGTCCTTTACCTTTTTAATTTTGAGTGTATGCACCTAATGGTGGACTTCTGAGCAGAGCAGAGATACCATTAATGTGCTAGACAACCCACTGCTCAAATAGTCTCCCTGCCTGATTTGGATGAGGTGATCTCCAGTCTGGTGTTGGAGCTTTCTTAACCCACTTTACTTTTCAAAAAGTGCTATTGAGATCCATTAAAATGAATGGAAGCTCAGAGATTTATTTCAGTGAGATGTGAAAATGCCCTCCATCAGTCTGAAAGGTGCCACCAATCTTTGTGTAGTTTTTGCCACAGCAAATTAACATGTCTGTCTTTTATGGAATTTGTACTCAATAATTGTCTAGCTAGAGCCAGGTTTTTTAGCTCTAGTTCTGTGTATCAATGGGAACAGAGTTCCTCACATAAAGCAAGTTTTCTATGTGATTTTTTTTAAAATTGGTTTGAATTAATTCACAATCTGGTCAAATTCATTTCATTTTGTCTATCGCCTACATAATTGTCAATCATTAAATAAAGAAAACCTACTTTGGGCAGTAGCTTGCACCTTTGCAACATTTAGTTTAAAGAAAAGGCGAGTGAGAGAAGATATGATAGAGGTGTATAAAATTTTGCATAGTATGAGGAAGGTGGACAGAGAAACATTTTTCTTTGTCTTTCATAGTACCGGACCTCATGGACATCCATTGAAACTGAATATTGGAAGGTTCAAGACAGCCAGCACATAGTTTAACAGCCAGAACATAGTTAAACTGTGGAATTGAGCGGCTTCAAAAGAGGATTAGACAAATTCATGGTGGATGAGATTATCAGTGGCTACCAACAGTGATGGTTATGTTCTGCTGCCCCTGTTGGAAGCTATATGCTTCTGAAAACCAGTTACTGGGTACCAAAGAAGGGGAGAGTGCTCTTGCACTCCAGTCCTGCTTCCCACAGGAATCTGGTTGGCCACTGTGAGAACAGGATGCCAGACTGGATGGGCCATTGACCAGATCCAGCAGACCTTTATTTAGATAAGTGGTATTAATGGCGTATTCAATGCAAAAGAAATGCTTACTGAAATCCAGTTATTACATGATATATGCCTCTCTACTCCAGAGGCTATGTTGTGTTGGAGTTCCAGAAGAGATTTCCCAGAACATGCGTTTTTGTCAAGAATGGATCAGACAGCACAACTTTCTCTCTTAGTCTGATGCCAGACTGTCTGGAGAGATGGCTTATGTCCCTTGTCAGGAACTGATGAATCTTTATAGGTTACCTCTGATTCCTCGGAAAAGATATCTGGTGACGTCTTCATATATTTGTCCTTCCTAGCATGAGAAAAGCAGCATCTTGAAATTCCATCGGGAACTTTAATCTTGCCCTTTTTATAAGAGCCTGCATTATGCTGACAGTGGAAAATAAATGGCTTCGTTTCCAAAGATGCGGAAAACTTCTAAGATCCTAAATTGAGGGCCTATACTTATTAACCGAGAACACCCAAAGCTCTGAATAAAAGGGAATCTGTGGTTTAAAGGGTGAGGGAGGAGAGCACCTGTAATGAATGATTCTGTGATCCTCTAGATGTTAGATAGTTGAGATTCCTGCATTGCAGGGGATTGGACTTGATCCCTTGGTATACTTTCCAACTCTATGATTCTGTGATTCTAGGAACAATAGCAGATATGCAAGGGTGACTCCATGCCACATTTTTTAATACTTATGTTTCCTTCGTGTTCACATCATGTATAGAAACAAGTGTGAGACAAGCATTCAACCCACACAGGGTTGGAAGCCATGATGAGCTTGCAACAAGGTACCTGTCTTGGTTTGCTTCAGCATGCAAGAGCTAAATGGAAAGCAGGAAAATGGACAATTATGCATGTCCTCACTATAAATGTGATGCTTTTGCAACACAACAAGAATAGTTCTCTGATAAAAGACACCCTGAAAAGCTTCTTTCTATCAAGCTGTGCATGTACATCCAATTAAGTTTAGAGCCCACATGATATTTGTAGAAATACTTCTTTTATCCCCACTGCACTGGGCTCCACAATCCTTGCACATGTTCAGGATGGAAAGCTTCAGCACTACACCCTACAGTGTCTACAAGAATACACTATAATGCTTGAAATAGCTCACTCTTAGTGCGAGAAATCTGAAATATAAAAATAATACTTTAGAATGCAGATACATATTCTGCTTTCTTAAATAATAAACATGTTGTTTATTTGTAGCTGTAGAAGAACATAAGACAGTGGAGAGTCATTTGGAGAATGTGCAGAAGTGGTGAGTATTACAGATTCTTTAACACGTTGCGTTATGAAAGGTCCTACTTCATCTTTAAATATATTTGAATAAGTGAAAAAAATCACCAAATGCACCAGAGTCCTTATTTTTAAACACATGCTCATACTTCCAACATTTTCATACAGCTTGTCTTGGACTTTAGGGAACAAGCTGTCTGAAATGGAAGCTTTCTAGACAAAACAGTTCATTATGTGGTAAGAACTGTTCCTAGAGTGTTCTACTGCAGACTCCAGGTTTTGGTGAGGGGTGTTGAATGATTGATTAAAATAATCACATGCACAGAAAAAGCAGAGACTTGGTAATATAAGAAGCTGCCTTAGATTAAGTGAGGTCATTGGTCTGCGTGGCTCAAACGTCTACACATAGTTCGCATACAGCACTAAAGCAAACTATGGTTTAGCCTGAATGCACCAGTGGGTAAACTCCCAAGACAGGAGACTGGGAATGTTTTGCTCCTCCACCAGTTTTGCTGCTGCTGCTGCTTTGAGCTACGTTTGTTGGAAAGAGACAAACCACTAGTCTGGGTTTAGGCAACATACTGAGCTTGGTGTGCTGAGTCATGGCTTGGGACACAGTAGTGTGGCTGCAACAGAACTGAAGAAGAAGCAAAGCGGCTGCAATTTCTCCATAAGTCTGCATGCTTGCATGTGGCGTTCACTACACTTGCATATTCACGGTAAGGAATGATTTGACTCAGCGTTCCTTCCAAACTGAGCCATTGGCAGCAGCCCTCCAGTTTTGCAGCCAGGGGCCTCACTCTGCTGTACTAGGGAATGCCAGGATTGAATCTGCATGTAACACCCTGTGACTGAGCTGTGTTCCTTCCTCCAAGAGAGAATCTCTGGGAACTCAAACTCAAACTGCAAGCGCCATAGAGCAGTTCCTTAGCCATAGCAGCAGACTGAGAACATTTCATCTCAGCATCTTGGCTTTTGTTAAGGGAAAATTTCTGCTGTGTCTTTTTTAATGCAGACCTGTAATCTGAAGTGGTGCGGTCTAGGAACAATTTTACCACACGCTTGACAATTTATATACCGTTTAACTACAATTGTCATCAGCTTCAAAAGGGATTTGCTGTGTAGGTACAGATTGTTGTTTACACTAAAGCCCAGTTGATACATCGAATCCCAGCTGGTGCAACAAATGCTTTTTGTTGTTGTCGTTGAAACATCTGTTCCTCTCTTCACTGATTTGTATGTTCAGATTTCAGGTGTATAGATATTAATATACATTTTAATATTCTAATACAAGTTTGTTGCAAAACAAGTTTAACAGTAGAAGACTCTTTCTAATGTATTTCAAGAGTACTTCAGCCTATAGTATGGACCTGGTAAATCTTAAAGTATTAGCAATAACACCTGTTGTTCATTGCTGCTGTCGTCAGTTTCCCAAGATCCTGAGAAAATAAATCGTTTTCAGGGTATTATACCTGGAGACTTTCATTGGGTATCAACTGGTGTGATGTTGACATTGCTTTTAATAAATATAGACTGTAATTCTGGGCTCATCCACACTTACCTTTTGCCTATGTTTTCCAGCCATAGGTCCATACTTTCCTAGTCCGTATCTGCCACTTTCCCCAGGAAAACCTGCTCTTTAACGCTGAATTGGAGCAAATGGCAATTTGGGTTTTTCACAGATTGATGAGAGCATTAAAGAGCAGGTTTTTTGTGGGCAAAACGGCAGTGCAAAAAAAAAGTGCTCAGAGAAACCTGTGCCTAGAAAGTGTGAAGGAAACTTAGTATGAATGAGCCCTTAAAAAGGCTGAAGGGGTTGGGGTTTTTTGTTAGTTAGTTAATTAGCTTTCTTCGCCCCACAGAAGGTAAAGTTAGTTAATGCATGGTTTTTCAGAGCCAGGCTCATCTCATAGTCTGGACAGTGTAGGCTCTGAAGTAAGAATAGAGTTCTAAACTTAGGTGCCCCTAGAAGGGAAATTTAACAGTTTTATATATAAGGCAGTTAGTCGTTTTCCTCAAAAATATTCCAAGCGATTTGGAAAGACTGCTTAAAAATAGAACAAATTTCCAGGATAAAATGGCACCATAATAAAAAGAAAACAAAATTCCTAGAAATAAACACGGAAAACACAATTAACAGTAGCAATAGAGTCAGCATAAGAATGTAATTAAAAATAAGTCATAAATAGATCATAAAATGCAACCATTAAGCAGTTGCACAGCTGCGAATGCCAACTGAAATATAAATGCCTTAATGTGACAACAAAATTGGAGGAGGAAAGGAGCTAAGCAAACCAAATCTGTTTTGGAAGTGAATTCTGTACAGTATCTCAGTCTAGTCTATGGTGTCTGCAGGTATTCATCCTTGAAGAAGCCCACCACTTTCTCCTTCAGAATCTTTTATTTTTTTACCTGACCTTTTTGGCTTTTGTTGTTTGCTTATTTGGGGGCAGGAGCTGTGGCCTGCGTTTTGTTTGGTTTTTTGTATTTTTGGGTTTTTGGGGGAGGGAAAGCAGGAGAGGTTTAGCCTGTTGCTTGGAAGATTTTACTGAGTATCACCAATTTTTGTTCCATGAAATGGGTATTTTGTGGTGCCCACAACAGTTCCTTAAATTTCCAGATATGCCCCAGGCACAAAAATAGGTATGCTACCTCTGATCTAGGACTTTGGGGGCTTCCAGATACCCATGGTAATGAGCATAAGTCAATAGGATTCTGGTAAATAAAATCAGACGCTTTCTAAAATGTTTCCGTGCCCATATTCATTCATATTGTGTCTTAATGTACACACCCACCAAAACAGCACCATTATTATTATTATTATTATTATTATTATTATTATTATTATTTAATTCAGAAGTGCTGGGTGGATCCATTGCTGGTACAGTGCCCAGATTATAGCAGATTTATGTTAATTGCCAGCCTAGGCTACTGAGTCAGAAATCTGCCCTGAGGGAAACTGAACTTCCACCTTAGGTTTATGTGCTGACAATTTTCCCCTCCCCTGCCCAACACTGTAGCTTTGAAGAATTGGTGGGATACTTCGGGATAAAACCAAAGTCTGGCGAGAAGGAGACCACGCCAAACTACGTTTTCACGGTGTGGTATGAGTTCTGCAGCGACTTTAAGGCCATTTGGAAACGAGAGAGCAAAAACATTTCCAAAGAAAGGTAAGGTTCTAATAAAGTCATTAATACATTTTTTTTCAGAAGTCTGGGAAACTGGTCCTTTTTAAACTCAACAAATTATACTCCCATATTTCACAGGCGTCATTGTTTTCTTTCAGATCAAATGGACATCAAGGAAAGATTATTCCCTCAGGGTGCCTAGGAAAATTCACCAAAGGGATGCTGTCCCCACAAAAAGATAAACACATATAATCTGATAAATTACACTTTCTTAACCCCTTCCAATTACTAGCTAGTAAAATGAAAGGGGAGCTGTGCTAATTTGTAACAGATTGCTTCTCTTTGCATTTTTGTGTTGGACTGCTCTAAATGAGGCGATATTGCTGTTGCAGACAGGACAGACAAATAAAAGTGAATGCTTTTTCCAGTTAATATACTACACTTGCATCAAAGGGTAGCCTATGAGATTCAGGCCACACTTAGCACAGCGTTGAAGTCCCACACTGAATTTACAGCACCGCTTCTTGGTATCCTGCTGTGGACATCAAACTCCATGCCGCAGCATCTCCCACTGTCTTGTGATTTTATTAGGTTTAGTTAAAACCTTTTTTAAAAATAAAAGGTTTCACCTCTTGAGATTTGTTTTTAAAAAAATTAAAAGAAAAACGAGCACTTTCTTTAATATACTTTCCCCCCTTTTTTTTACTGTATGCAATTGCTCTGTTATGGCATTCTATTGTAAAATAATTAAGGGAATTGCCCAATAGGTGTTTTTAGTCCAGCACTCTTATTGTATTTCTTTTCATGTACACTAATAGGAAATACAAATCTCCTTGAGTGCCTCTCCTTGTGTAGCAAGGTAGCATTAACATTGTGGGAACCTCACAAAATCATTTAGAAGTAAAACTTTAAGCTAAGGGCGGAGGGGGAGAGAACTCCCAAAACAGTCCCATGAGGATCGGGCATGCTCATTGACTGACTGTAGGACAGGTAATGGAAAACTGTAGGGGAGGGTGGGAAGAATCCAGTGGATTCTCCTGTAGGAGAGGGCATGACTGTTATCCTTAGCAGAAACACTCCATGCTGCAACATCTTGTTGCAGGTTCCTCTTGTCCTGTTCTAATGTGCACCTTTCCCTCTTCTGGACAAGCGCAGACTCATTATTTTTTGTTTGTTCCTTTCTCTCTTATTAAATGTTGAATATGTGCTTCCCAACAAATTTGTTGGAGTTTGTGATTGAATTTTGAAGAGGCCAGTTTAAAATGAATGAGCAGATAAAATTAACAAGCTCTCTAGGACTAGTCTGTTGTTGTTCAGTTGTTTAGTCGTTTAGTCGTGTCCGACTCTTCATGACCCCATGGACCAGAGCACGCCAGGCACTCCTGTCTTCCACTGCCTCCCACAGTTTGGTCAAACTCATGCTGGTAGCTTTGAGAACACTGTCCAACCATCTCGTCCTCTGTCATCCCCTTCTCCTTGTGCCCTCCATCTTTCCCAACATCAGGGTCTTTTCCAGGGAGTCTTCTCTTCCCATGAGGTGGCCAAAGTATTGGAGCCTCAGCTTCAGGATCTGTCCTTCCAGTGAGCACTCAGTGATAAAGATGGAGTCCAGAGCAATCATTCAGAAGCATGCACTCTTTTAAATAGGTGCAAGCCTTTGATTGGGGGAAAAAGTGGTGTGTAAACAGTAAAAGATTACAGGATGGCTGCAGAATTTGTGACTCCCCAAGACAAATGTAGTCCATCCATCACATACTAAGGCTTGGCAGGTCACAGCTTCTGAGGGCCTAGTGTGAACCATGCCCCTTAGGGTGAATATCAGTGGGTGATTGCATGAAAAATGCCAAGCAAGATGCAGCCAAACAGATATTTTGCACATCTTCCAAGTCCTAATATGTACAAACAGAAATCATAAACTTGATACTTTTTATATTTTGAGGTCTGTTATTTTGTGTACCAAGAATATAAAGAAATAATTGTTACTCTGGAATCTGAATCATTTATCAGTTAGTTGGCCTTCTGTATGAAACAGCAGTGTTAATCAGGCTCAACATTAGAAGCTTAAATATCCTTTAGCATGCAATTTTAAATTAGATGCAGATAGAGATAATCCAGTAAATTGTCGTACTAATTATACACATAGATCTGCTGATTCCTTTGTCACAAGCAGCAGTCTTCTAGAATAGTCAGTTTCGCTGCTAAGAGGGGAAATGCTGCGGGGGGTGGGGAAGATACTTCTAAAGTGAAATTGGTCATTTTAGAAATTTTTGCAATTTGTTACTTGAGTAGATCTACTTATGAGCAAGTGAATTTTGCTTGCCATTTGAAGGAACATGTTTGCTAAGGGACAGTGTTGCCCAGTGTATCTCCTCCAAATGTTGGGTGAACTAAAGAAACAAGCATAATGGAGGACTGCTGCAAACATTTGTAGAAGAGTCTTTGAATCGTGTAACAGGAAGGTTCTGCAGCAGTTCTCATGCTTCTCCTTGCACAAGAAAGAGTGCAAGGAGAAGAAATATTTGGATTTCGTTTCACTTTTCTCACCCAACACTGAAATGGAAAACTGCAGCCAGTGAGAAAAGCTGGAATTTCGGAATGTGGAATAGACTCCACCTGCTGCTACCGGGAAAGCTGATACAATATGAACAGGATCTGCAGAGACAACTCTACTGTGGGTGTGATGCTATCACTTCTTCAAATGTCAGGAGTACCTAAGAATATAATAAAAGTTTGCTGGATTAGGCCCATGACCCTTCTAGTCCCAACATCCTGTTCTCACAGTGGTCAGTCAGGTGTCTATGTTTCCCATCACAAGAGCACTCTCCCCTCTTGCAGTTTCCAGTGGTGGGCACTGCTTCTGACTGTGGAGCAGTTCTCCAAGTCTTTTAAAGTATATAACCAAAATCAGTTTTAAACAGGTCAGGCTCTTAAGAAGTGAAAGACAGTGAGTCTAGAGGGAGTGATGAATTCCATATTAATAAATTCAGAGTAAAATATGTGATTTTGGATATGCTGTTTTGAGTCTGGATTAGCCTTCTTGAGTAGCAGGATAAGACTTGCATATATTTTGTCATGAGAATGAATGGTTTGTTTTTTCCTTCTTAACACATGAATTTTATTCATATACTTTGGTGGGGCTTGTGTTTATTTACTAATGACTTCATTGGATTACTTTTAGCCTTTAAAGGTTTCAGTTTATTCTCAGTTCAACTTGTAGATGATTCATGAAGACAATGAGTAACTGATGTCAAGTATATGTTTGAATGACAGATGAGTTGTTTCTTTATCACATTCAAATGGCTTAGAAAACCATGACCCTTTAGAGGTTGTTATTTTACAAAGTATGAGTGACAGTTTGCCAGCCGTATTTTCCAGGAAGAAACACATTTAGAGAACTGAGAAATAACCATTATGTCTTGAAAAACAATTATTTTCCTAAGGTGTATTTTAGTGTAATCATATTGTTTTCATAACCTCAGCAGAATAGAAAAGGAGCCAGTTTATACACCCAAGCTGTAACTATTTCTTGGACTGCAGCATTTAAAATTCCTCAGAGAGAAGAAGGGAGGTTTGCATGTTTGAACACCCTGTGCCAAAAAGCAAAGGCCCCCTCTACACATAGGAAAGGGGCATGTCGACTTCCAATCTAATCCAGCATCCTGTTCTCACAGTGGCCAACCAGAAGGAATTACAGTGAATCCTTAGTAATTCTTTTGCAATGCACATCTTCATAAACAAGAGTTTACATGTCAAATAAAGAGACACAAAAATAGTTTCATTCAATTAGATTAAGAAAGGTTAAATACCTTGGTTCTTGAATGCCTTGGTACTCGAACATTTCGGCTCCCGAATGCCAAACACCCAGAAGTAAGTGTTCCAGTTTTTGAACGTTTTTCGGAAGCTGAACGTCCGATGTGGTTGTTAGCTATTGTTTCCTGGGTGCCTGAGCCAATCGGAAGCTGCGCCTTGGTTTGCAAACATTTAGGAAGTCGAAAGGACTTCCGGAACGGATTACGTTTGAGAACCAAGGTACCACTGTACCTGATGATTCAAATAGTTGATAATTTTTGTTCTTTTCTTTACAACATTTTAAAACACAAATGTGAACAGAGGCAAGTTTGCAAAATTTTATACAGGATGCCCATCTAGCAACAAAATGATCCTATTTTGCCAACTTGTCAATTATGAGATGATGGTGGTGCCCATCTGACTGGGTTGCCCCAGCCACTTTAGGCGCCTTCCACCAAATTAAGACATAGTAAGACATCAAACATTATTGGCACTATTGGTTCTACTAGAGTATTTTGAGGTTATTCAAAGGACAGTGCAACATCTCTTAGCGCACTAAGAAAAAGCAAGTTAATGGTAGCTTTAACCAATGGGCTAGGCTGCAAGGGTTTGTTTTGTCTGAAAACTACTTGACTTTTAATGTAAGAAAAGTGTAGAAATCTAATTAGATTTTTATCAGACATTTTAGAAGAGGAAACACTTTAACCATGCTGCCCTACACTTAACCTACCATGAAAATAAATTAGCTGCCTGTGTAATATAGCTGATTTTTGCCCCAAGACAAAATCTGCATAGCATACAGGAATCTGAGGGTACTCAAAGGTACAAACATTATATATAACTAGCAAACATACTTACTACTTAAATCAAAAGGCAGTTTATATGAAATTCCTGGATTACCTCAGGAACATAAATATTACATGAATATTACATGAAAAGGATACAGCAGAAATATATTACGTGTACCCAACAGTCATAAATTTGGTATGGCTGTTTTGCTCAGCTGAGTGAAAATTTTGAATGAAGTAGCTGAAAAGTATTATCTTACTCTCAGTACCATGCGGTATTCTCAATACCACAGGGATGTGACACCGTTTTAGGGTCAATTTACACGGTCACTTTCGTGGGCTTATTTTTAATCTGTAGTGACTTTTAGTCAGTCCTGATTTGAGTATGGATATAAAAAAATCAGCCATTGGAGTGTTGAGGGCCTTTCTGCTTCATCAGATTTCTTATATAATAAAAGTATATTC